AGGTCCAGTCTGGTGAAGATGTCACACTGATGTGCTCCGGCATGGACAAACATGTTTCAGTCAGATATTGGCTTAAACTAGTCAAAGGAACCGACATCCAATGTGTCTCTACTATGACCAGTTATAACAGTGAAGTGACATATCATGATGGATTCAGTAATCATACATTCACTATGTCGTCCAACACCTCTACTATCTTTCTCAAAGTCCGTTCAGTGGAATTAAACGACTCTGGAATTTATTACTGTGGATTTAACAAAGATGGACGTCCATTTTTTACTACGATACATCTAAAGATCAAAGGTAAGATTATTTTTAAGTATTTTCCTTCTCTCTGTTCCCATTATTACATTGTTCATTTTGTCAGCTTATGTTGGCAAAAAAAATAAAAGAATCTTAAAACATCTTCTATCAGCAAATTGTCTTTTATATTTTGATGTAAATCAGTTAAGATTAAATCATTCTCTCATAGGCAGCAGTGACGCTCATAACAGCATGAACAGCAACTCCACAAGTAATATTCTCCAAAAGTTTTCTTTATTCAACAGACTTCTGACATTTTAAATGTTACATGTTAAAAAGCTAGCTGAATTTGGAGTCTCCAAAGGAAAACAGAGTCTGAAGCAATGATCTGTCTCTGTAGAAGAGTCTAATGGAACAGCAACTAAAGACCTAAGCTTCTTTAAATATGTTTAATAGGAAGCAACGAGGCAGATGAAGACATGGACAGAACGGACTGTAACCTTACAAGTACAATTTTATTATTATTTCTATGATGCACAGACTTCTTATATTTCAAATAACTTAAATAATTTAGTTTGATCCTGTCAGGTTTTAAAGTCTCCAAAAGGAAAATGTATTCTGACACAATGATCTTTCATGTTGAAGAGTGTGATGGAGCAGCGACTCTGGTGAGCATGATCCTGGGTGCTTTGACTCTTTTGCTTGTCATGGTGGTCATCGGTCTGGGTGCTAAAATTAGGAAACTTCAGACAGGTATGTTATAATGTACTTATTATTGCATTTATGGTCTTTAAGTTTACCAAAGACAACGTTCAATGAACCCTAACCTCTAACCAAGATGTTTTATTTTGTCACTCAGCTGCTGAAGAAAGACAGAATCCAGGACACACTGAGGTAAATACAACTCAATTTACTTTAACACAGTTTGTGATTGAAGAATAATGACATGATATTCATTGGTGTTAATTTAATGTGTTCCTGAAATATTTGTGTATTTATAGACTTATGTACTTTTTGTCCATATGCTTTAGAGGAACAGTATGTAAATTCTGCCAGGGGTCTCTCATGTAAAAACAATAATAAAAGATGATGTTGAGGCTGGCGGGGAATCATGGGAGTGATTCTCTCTGTTACTTGACCCGATGACTCAGAGTTGACCATAGTAAAGACAAGCGGACGAAACCAGCCTGAGAAAGAGAATATGTTTATCGATGAGTTAAAGTATCCAAGTATAATATACATTGCATTTTTATCACAGCAGCACATGCAGCAACAGTACAGCAGCTTTTAGTAGCAGCTCCCGATTTCCTTTTGCAGCGGGCTTTGGTGTACCATCCAGTGTTTCCAAGGCAACAATAAACTTGTCGTCCCAACAAGACACGTCCTGTTACAACTATTAAACTAAGGATTTCTCTGGCTTTGATAACTGTTGGTCATATTTTAAGAACGTTGAACTGTTTTTAAATCAAAGTCTTAAATTACCAACAACCATCTGCTTAAAGATCTAGAATATGTTAGTCTCTTCTGGGAAGAAAAGTCATTTCAAGTGAACACATTATGACTGTAAATATTCTCTTTACAGAATGTGACCTCTGATGAACTTAACTACGCAGCAGTGACATTTCGATCTAAAGCCAAAAGAAGAGGGCCGGAGCCAAATGTCTTGTATGCTGCTACCAGATAGAGTGAGGAGGCAGCTGGACATGATCTTGTATCATACATTATTACAATGCTTTGAGCTTTTGCATGGCTTGATGGTGAGAGTTAGTTGAATTATCATCTTAATATTGCTTTTACTTACTATTTACTTTTGCTGAATCAACACTGTCTGTGGCTCCCTGCATCTCTTTTGTGATGTGTTTTAGAAATTCCTACATGTCATCATGTGATGCTTTAGGTAGATGTTCTTTTTTAAATGACTCATTTTTATGTGCTGTACTGAAGTTGGTTTTGACATCGTTCATCACTTATATTGTGTTTGTATGCTCTCAGTGCAAGGCAAATTCCTCTAGGGGCAATAAAGGTTTTATTCATCCATTAAAAGATCGAGTTATGTGATGAGTTGCCATCTTTGTTTGTCCCCTTGTATCCCAAAATCTTCATCAGCAATGGTCTGTCCCTGTGACTTTTTAATGATTGTGATGAGTTCAGAAATAGGAACATTGTCTGCAGCACTTCTGTCAGCAGAAGCAGATGAGAGAATGAGGATCACATCACTTGTTAAACAGGAAAAGAGCACAGTGTGGTCTGAGGTGGCAAAAACCACGAGGCCTGTGGACCCCAACCTCTTTGAGAATAAAGTGTGAAATGAAGCAGCAAATGGCTGACTGTCTTTTGTTGGTTGTACAAAACAAAAAGCATCTCTACATTTGTAGTAAAGTCATTAAAACACAGAAGGTACAAAATCCCCTGCATCATGACCACACCCAACAGGCGTCATTTTCCCAAAGAATACGAAGACTTGAAGAAGTGAAGATATTTTTAAAGTCACGTTCAAAGACACAAGAGGTGAGAATCTAGTCAGTGATGAATAAACATCAAACTGTATCACAGCTCCTCCTATCAGAGGTCACACTTCAGACTCAACACTTGCATTAACATCACTTCTGTCTTTTTAAAAGACATTTTGCAAACTGACTCTTGTACAGTCTCATATCAAAACATTTACTCTGCTAAAGGATGCATCATTTTTTAGAGGTAACAAATGACAGAAAAAAACACAGCAGGGGACTTTCCCATCTATTTCCACTGTCATATACATTTCAACCAACTCCTTTATCCCTCACCTAACACAAACTGACCAACTGAATCTCACAAGATGTGTCTGTTTCTGTCTTCATGTGTATGAAAATGATGGCTGCACAGCTGTTGATGGGATGAAGTAGCTGATTACACTGTGAAGACTGAGGTTGATGGGGAAGATGGGTGATGCTGTGATCTGAGGCTGATGGGATGAAGTGTCTGACCAAACTGTGAAGACTTGGTGGTGATGTGGAGGTGGAAAAACACACGTCACAATGGCATGAATGATCTGGTGGAAGAGAGAAAGCCACATTTTTAAAAAGACAGCAGCAATATGATAGACTAACCACTAGGGAGTGGAGCATAGCCACAGAGATTCATATTGCATTGAGGCGTCTTGTAAAGGAGAGTTGAACAGCCCTACTCATAACAAATAAGAACCTGGTGTTGACCACAATAGAATCATTCTAGGTGCAGTAACTGGTTTCAGATAACACAAATAAAACCATTTCACACATGCACTGTAATCTGAAAATGTCCTGACATTGTCGCAGGAGGCGAGCATGTGTGAAGTTTTTCCCTCTGACTCCGACATGACTTTGTCCTGCCAGTCCCTGAGTTGTAAATTCCACATTAGTTCAGGTTGAGTTGATGTGTGAATGCAGCAGGTAATAGTCTGGATTCTTCCCTGAAAGTGAGCGGGCACGTTGATGACATTGTCAGTGTGAGCAGAGTTTCTCCTGCTGTAGACTTCACTGCTCGCCTCAGTTGTCAGTTTGTTGTTTTCTTTTATTGTGTTTGTATTGTATAAACATCTTTATACATGTTGCAGGAACATATCACCAAAACTGTTCATATTACTGAAGACTCCTCCTCCTCTTATCTTACCTAAACCATACAGAGTATGTAAGATAGTGAGAGACGCTCCAACATAGATCATTCCCCACTCTGTCCAACACTCTCAGATATTAGTGCAGGAATCTAAGACCTGGTCCACACGTAGGCAGGTATTGTTTTAAATGGAGGGTTTCCTCACATCCACATTACGCTAAGTTCTCAATAACATCTTCGTGCACATGAAAATGCAAAAACTCACTGTTCTGGCTGTCATGAGCATGCAATCTTCTCGCCGGTCCTCTGCGATGACCACCAATAACCTTAAGTCCAACCGGCTCTCTTCCAAATCCATCAACTTTGGCGGCTGTATGAGTGTTGTATGAATCAGCAGTGACCTCCGTTGTCCATTCAGACGTCTCTGCTCGTCAACATAAATAATATCATCAGTAAACTGAAAAAATACTATAAAATGTTCAGACTAATAAAGTGTGCTTATAACACATTTCAACTTCAAAATATTAGAGAAATACTTCTGACAATGTTTTCCTGATAAGTACATTTCATTTAAAGTTAAACACCTTTCTCTATCTGTGCACAGAGTGTTGTATGTTTGTACTTCGGTGTGAAGACGTATTTGAAATAGCGCTTTTGAAACATGTTAAAGGGTAGAGCTCTGAACAACTCAATGTCTGTGTCTTGACTTACTTTACTTGCAGCATGTTTGACATCACATACAGGAACAGGATAAGTGTTTCAACATTTGTGACTTCATTGATATGTTTAATATTGTTTGATTCATCTGCATTAAATGCATCTTATCCACTTATCTCATATTTGTTAACTCATGTGAAGAGAAGTGTTTTACCTTCAGGTTCTGACTCTTAATATCTCGGTCACTCATCTGTTTGTTCCAGGTTGGATCTCTGTCTCAGGTTCTGAGTCTCAGACTGTGGAGGTCCAGTCTGGTGAAGATGTCACACTGATGTGCTCCGGCATGGACGAACAGGTTTCAGTCAGATATTGGCTGAAACTAGTTGTTGCACACTTGTACACAAAGAACCAAGCAGCCATGGGTTTTATGATTATTCTTTTACTTCGGTCTGAAACACAGAGACACAAACACATCAACTCAGCGTGGCTGCACACTCTCGGACATCTGGGTCGACTGAGCAACGCATGGCATCACAGATCTGCTCATCAAAGATGATGCTGATGACTCTCTCACACACTTATACAAATATTCTGCGCACACACACACACAGTAAATATTAAAGAAGGCTAACTGTGAATTTCCTACTGTCACTTTATCACTTTTGCTCACCTGAAACACAGAGACACAAACACATCAACTCAGCGTGGCTGCACACTCTCGGACATCTGGTCGACTGAGCTATGCATGGCATCAAAGACCCTGTGCTGCCCAGAGCTGCCCCAAAAGTGCCTGTGTGATACTTCTTCAATTTGACCCACAAATATACCAACTAAAATATCACAGTGCCTTTGTACAGGAACATCTAACAGTATGATTGAACGACATAATAAAATAAAATATCAAAAACCATATATATGAGACTAGGGGGGTGCCTAGTGTCCATGAACATGCCTGATATTAATACGGGCCCCACACTCTCCCCTCCAAAATAAATGTTGTCTCGATATTAAGAATTTCCCAGAGTCTTTCAGTCTGCAACTTATGAGTTAGAGAGGTAAGTTAAATGGAAGTCAGTCTTTCGTGATACTCTCTGCACAACAACAGTTTATTACATGACATACATCTCCCTCTTCATGTCATGTGTGAGCAACAGACATCACTGGCCAGGTGACACCTGAAGTTCTACTCCGCCATTTTTGCGGGTTAGTATCTTGGACTGCAAGGTGAAAACCCTGTTACTACCAATAACCCATTTTATACAGACCCACATACACAACTGTATGCCTCACACAAATCTCAGTGTCTTTAAATGTGTTAGCGGCCTACTTTCTGGTACTAAACTTAATATATCAAGTGCATTTACATCCTATGCTACATGAATTTACATTTTAACACGAACCTTAAGTGCTTCCATGAACGTATTTACTTTTTTTTCTGTCACTACCATGAACATGTGACTCTAAACTTGTCTTTCACTTCCTCTCGTAAAAATTACTGATTTCTATGTGTAACTGATGGTTGACCTAATGTGTTGTATGTCAGTGTTTTAGGTGGGTTTCTTTGTCGCAAAGGATATTTTCTTGTAGAAGCTGGCTGCGTCTCAGGTTCTCTCTCGTCTGCTTTATCAGATTTGACCAGTCTATGGATTTGACCCACAAATGTACCAACTAAAATATCATGGTGCCTTTGTACAGGAATATCTAACAGATTGATTGAACAAGATAATAAAATAACATATCAAAAACCATATATATGAGACTAGGGGGGTGCCTAGTGTCCATGAACATGCCTGATATTAATACGGGCCCCACATAGTCAAAGGAACCAACATCCAATGTGTCTCTACTATGACCAGTTATAACAGCACAGTGACATATCGTGATGGATTCAGTAATCATAAGTTCACTATGTTGTCCAACACCTCTACTATCTTTCTCAAAGTCCGTTCAGTGGAATTAAACGACTCTGGAATTTATTACTGTGGATTTAACAAAGATGGACGTCCATTTCTTACTACGATACATCTAAAGATCAATGGTAAGATTATTATAAAGTTTTTTTCTTCTCTCTGTTCCCATTATCACATTGTTCATTTTCTGCTTATGTTTTTAAAAAAGTAGTAAATGATCTTGAAACATCTTCTATCATCAAATTGTCTTTTATATTTTGATGTAAATCAGTTAAGATGAAATCCTTCTCTAATAGGCAGCAGTGACGCTCATAACAGCATGAACAGCAACTCTACAAGTATGATTTTGATTATTATTTCTATAATTCACAGACTTCTTATATCTTTGAATAGCTTAGAAGCTTAAATAATTCAGTTTGATCTTGTCAGGTTTTAAAGTCTCCAAAAGGAAAATGTATTCTGACACAATGATCTTTCTTTGTTGAAGAGTGTGATGGAGCAGCGACTCTGGTGAGTGTCGTCCTGCGTGGTTTGACTCTTTTGCTTGTGATGGTCGTCATCGGTCTGGTTGTTAAAGACAGGACATTTCAGACACAATATTTATATATATATTTATTTTCACAATAGAAAATTCATTCAAGTTCCTTCAATGGTCTTTAAAATGACTCAAACATAATGTTGAATGAACTTACCAGATGTTATATTTTGTCTCTCAGCTGCTGAAGAAAGACAGAATCCAGGACACCGTGAGGTGAATCACATTTGAATGTTTACTTTTATAGTTTATGAATAAGTCTAGTGAAGAATACTGATGTTAATCATTGATGATAGTTTAATGTGTTTCAAAAATATTAGTGTGTTGATAGACTTACATACTTCTTGTTCGTATACAGAGCTACATGAACATTGAATCAGTTTAGGAGAGTCAACATTAGTGTTGTAGTACTCCAAATCACTCTCCAGACCACTTTTTGAAGGTCTCAGTCTCAGAATCAAAGCATTTTAACTCAGACTTGTCTTGGTCTCAGACTGGGCGACTCTGGATTTTAAATCAAGACCAGTCAACACCACCACTGACTGGTTGTTTTTCCATGTCATTACTTTGATTAGAAGGAATGGGGTCCATTTAAAGAAAAAAAAACAAAAAAAAAACAACCTTTCAAATGTTACACTCAGTAAGTGACACGCCCACACAAGATGATGATTTTTCAGTGATATGTATGGTCTTGGTCTTGATCTTGACCATAGACTGTAAAAATAATGGACGGGACAAGATCCCCGGTCTAGTGAAGCTTTTATTTTTAGAGCTCCCCCCTGCTGACTGGCTGCAGTATAGGTCATAAACCCCGCCTCCTCAATGATAACAGATGGGATGTGGGTCAAACTGTAAAGCTAAAATACTCGTCACATAATTTTTTTCCAAACCTAAACTCTGCTGTGATCATTAGTTATTATCACCCTACATTGTGTTCAAGTGCTAATTTTTCTGTGAAGTTTGTTTGAAATAAGTTATTTGAGGTTGAAAAACGAGATTTTACGTCATATTTGACGATGATTGACAGCCGCCGATCTTGCGTAGCTCTCTTTGGGAATAACAAAAGTTACGTAGTGAAGGAAAGCCGAGACGCCATTGAATTTTTCCGTTCAGTTTTTTCGTCTTTTTTTTGAGCTGGAAAATGAGTTGTTCTGCAGTAAACTGTTCTAACCAACCTATGGGAGCTAAGGGATCTTTGCAGTTTTTTCGGTAAGTAAAAAAGTGATTTATGTGTCATTGGTTAAAGTCGTTATCTAGCTAGCTAACACATAAGCAGTCTAAGTTAGCTGAAATGTTGTAAAGCTAGGTTACTTATCCGGCATGATTTATCTTTTTATTTTATTTTTAAAATGAGCAAAACTAATAACTGACATGCTGTGTTTCTTGATATTGTTATATAGTTATTGTGATTTAAATTGTATTTAAAACCAAGAATCATAGATGCGGTTCATTGACTGTACAGTTATTTTACAGTAAAAATAAATACGTCTGGTAAGGTCTCAAAAAGTATCTAGGGCAAAAACAAAGTCACATGATTGTAATCTGGCCTGCATCATTACTAATGTTTACAGTCTGAGTGATAAGTGGGCTATACCGAGAGTAACAGGTTTTACTTTCACCGTGCAGGCTGAAATTCATAGGACTATATACGAGGGGAGAATATTTCTCTATGTATCCAGATAAAACTAAAGGTAAGATCTGATTTAATATAACTGTTACTGATTTAAGAGACTAACCGAAACATGAACGCAAACATCAACAACCGGCGGCGGTGTAATGTAATATTAACCGAGCATCATGCTGCTTAAACGTGATAAATATTCTGCATTGTCTTCCACACACCAATTCAACAGTAACAAGTTGATCATATTGTAAATTTAATGACGCTCATTGAGAATTTGCACTAAAAATTGACAAAACCTGACAAAAACTGCGGTGATTGTGACGGTGTCTGTATTTAACACCTTTGAAAGGAAGGTGTTAATGCAGGAGACCAGTGTTACACACAACATGCTGCTGTTATTGAAGTTAGGAGGAGACATAGGCACAAACAAAGAAGACATAAAGATCGTGTTTTCCCCCACACATTAACGAAGAGAAACACCATGATTAAACTACAGGCTATTGTTGCCTTTTTATAGCCAAAGAAAAGTGAACATTCACAGCCTCTGCATTCAAAAGAATTTCAACATTGACATTTATGTCTTCCTATTTCCCTCTTTTCGTCAACATTATATTTTAAACTGGGGATTTCCTTTTTCTCTGGTCTCTCGTCTCTCCCCCAGCTCGTCTCCTCACTCTAAAGCTGCTGCTACTCTGTAGGACGCTTTGATTGGGGCACCTCACCAATAAAATACTATTTTATATTTTATAAGCAGTTTGCCACCACACTGTACTTTTACTCTCCAAAGGCATATGAGTATGTGCATGACAACTTTAACAAAGCTTTACCACACAGTCACACCATCCACACAGCTGATCCAGGATTTACTGTAGCATCTTTTACAGCACTAAAAGGTCATGTACAGGCAAACAGAGAGAAGGGAAAAGAAACAATCTGTGCTCTCAAATAACAAAGCAGTCTCAAATCTTTTTGAGGAATTACAGCTAAAAAAAATTCTACTTTGCATACAGTACATCCTCTGATAAATACATTGAAGTACTTTGATTACATTTCTGTGGTGTTCCTGTAGGTGACCATGATGCAGCCAGACTGAAGCAGCAGGTTGTGAAGGTGGACACCATCATCTTGTCTTTGCAGTGCTGATTCTGAAGAGAACGCCTTCACATAGGACTCAAAGTTAAAATGATCTCTCATATGATTGGACCGTGTTATTGTAACCGCTATCAGCATCAAAGTAATTTTAGTAACAATTTATAATCCTTCTTAAAATGTAAGGAAGACTAGCAGAAGATTTTAACAGCCTCTATGGTTCTACAAGAAGTCTAGTTCATGTTTAAATTGTTCTTCTTTCTGTCTTCAAGGAAATCAATGCCAAAGGAAACAGCAGTCCAGAGTCTGATTCCAGCTCCGAGGTTCAGCACACAAATTGGCTGTCTGATTATATGAGAATATTTAACATTAGTTTAATTTATCAGGCTGGCCCATGTGATGACAGTTTAAAATAATCTTCAATAGAAAGTGACAGGAACACTTTTGTCTTCAAACATAAATTCATAAAGCTGATCATATTATTGGATTCATCCAGTCTTATTATATATTTTGTTTTTCCTCATAAATAGTTATCCTGTCTTAAAAACAAACTTTAGAACCTGAAGTTTAGCAGAACCTGAGGACAGATCTGATTTCAGGTCTGAGGCAGAAACATCACAGTAAAATTCATTATACTTTACATTTAACTCCATGATTGTTTTTCTTTATTACAGAAGATGCTCTCAGATTCAGATCCATCAGCAACCCCTGACAACATGGAGGACTCGTCCCCTGAGCGTTTCCTGTCCTCTCTCCATGGTCTTCTTCTCTTCAGTTATTAACTCAGCAGCACAAAATGCCAGACTGTTTGACAAGTCTGTGATTGAATAAATGGAAATTGAATCTCATACGTATCTTGCTATGCTTATTGGCTTTAAATGTTTAATATTAAATAAGTTTGAAGGCCATTTATCTCAAACGAGACCGGCTGTGACAAGCTGAGCTCGTCTGTTAGCTTTGCTGTTCTCTTAGCTGTTGTTGGTCAAGAAGAAATGAATGTCAGTTCAAGGCCTTTTCAAATGTGAGCTATAAACTTAATTGCTAAATTATTTTACTTTGACCAACACATTGCTCCAGTTAATCAGAGACAGTCATATCAGATTTTTAAAAAGTTTATTTAAACATTTTATGAAAAAAGAAAAACTTCAATAAACAACCCCTGGCTTCATTAACCATGTGGAAAATAAGTAAGGGAGGCCATCAGGTCAAATTGCTGGGACATAGGAGAAAGTATAAAAAATAATTTAAGAAAGAAATCCAAACAAAAATCAAATAAAGTATAGAGATCCTGGATGATTGTTTGACTGTTAAAATATGATGGAAAAGCAAATCCAACACAACCCTCCAGCATCTGGCCTTTCAAACACAGGGCAACATCATGTAAAGAAAAATAAATTGAATATTGACCATGATCTGTGTTTTATCTGAGGATGACTATGGTAGCCTTCTCACTGTTCACTGTCACAAAGCACCAGACTCTGTCCACCTTCTTCAGACGTCGATCAGCTCCTCTGGGTGATGGCAGAGAGGACTCTTCATCTGGGAGAGCTGCTGGTGGAAGGTCATTTCTACCACAGTGGATGAGCAGGGCATCTGGCACAGCTCTTAGTCCAAGTACAGGTGAAAAGAGGAGGAGGTTCCTTCAAACTAAGCGACCCCAGCCTGACCTCTGTAACAGGTGTGCAGATAAAGGTTGACATTAGTCATTTTTAGGTTCTGTTGATTGTAAAATGGAAAAGAAAACATTACCTTTCTATTTAACATTTAGCTGGTGTATGACTCAGTGTGATTTTTATTTTTAGAAGACTGTATTGTTAACAATAGCTTGTTTTTACAATCCTCTTATGAAACTTCAAAATAATCACAGGATATATAACTTTTAACAGATGATTTTCACTTACACTTCACCTCTGTGAAATATGTCAGACCAGCTGCTTTTATCTCTTCTTTGCCTAAATGAAGACACAAAAAACAATTGATTTACAATTGATCATGTGATGCTTTAGGTAGATTTTTAAAAATGATTTGTTTTTATGTGCTGTACTGAATTTTTTTTTTTTTTTTTTACAGTTTTTGTCACTTATATTGTGTTTGTATACTCTCAGTGCAAGGCAAATTCCCCTAGGGGCAATAAAGGTTTCATTCATCCATTAAAAGATCGAGTTATGTGATGAGTTGCCATCTTTGTTTGTTCCCTTGTATCCCAAAATCTTCATCAGCAATGGTCTGTCCCTGTGACTTTTTAATGATTATAATGAGTTCAGTAAAAGGAACATTGTCTGCAGAAGTAGATGAGAGAATGAGGATCACATCACTTGTTCAACAGGAAGAGAGCACAGTGGGGTCTGAGGTGGCAAAAACCACGAGGCCTGTGGACCCCAACCTCTTTGAGAATAAAGTGTGAAATGAAGCAGCAAATGGCTGACTGTCTTTTGTTGGTTGTACAAAACAATAAGCATCTCTACATTTGTAGTAAAGTCATTAAAACACAGAAGGTACAAAATCCCCTGCATCATGACCACACCCAACAGGCGTCGTGTTCCCAAAGAATATGAAGACTTGAAGAAGTGAAGATATTTTTAAAGTCACGTTCAAAGACACGAGAGGTGAGAATCTAGTCAGTGATGAACAAACATCAAACTGTATCACAGCTCCTCCCATCAGAGGTCACACTTCAGACTCAACGCTCATACTAACATCACTTCTTTGTTTTTAAAAGACATTTTGCAAAGTGACTCTTGTACAGTCTCATATCAAAACATTTACTCTGCTAAAGGATGCATCATTTTTTAGAGGTAACAAATGACAGAAAAAAGCACAGCAGGGGACTTTCCCATCTATTTCCACTGTCATATACATTTCAACCAACTCCTTCATCCCTCACCTAACACAAACTGACCAACTGAATCTCACAAGATGTGTCTGTTTCTGTCTTCATGTGTATGAAAATGATGGCTGCACAGCTGTTGATGTGATGAAGTAGCTGATTACACTGTGAAGACTGGGGTTGATGGGGAAGATGGGTGATGCTGTGATCTGAGGCTGATGGGATGAAGTGTCTGACCAAACTGTGAAGACTTGGTGGTGATGTGGAGGTGGAAAAACACACGTCACAATGACATGAATGATCTGGTGGAAGAGAGAAAGTCACATTTTTAAAAAGACAGCCGCAATATGATAGGCTAACCATGAGGGAGTGGAGCAGTGCTATTGGATAGATGTGAACAGCTGATGAATATGATTGCGCATAAATGAAAGAGCTATGTGATACACAATACATGATGTAGGAACATTACGTCAAAACTGTTCATATTACTGTAGACTCCTCCTCCTCTTATATTACCTAAGCCTAACAGAGTATGTTAGATTGTGAGAGTCGCTGCAACACGGAACTAAAACGGAGGTTTTTCCTCTATTGAAAAAAATGAACACATTTCAACTTCTCAATATTAAAGACATACTTATGACAATGTTTTCCTGATGAGTACATTTCATTTAAAGTTAAACACATTTCTCTATCTGTGCACAGAGTGTTATATGTTTGAACTTTGGTGAGGGAATCATTTGAAATAGCATTTCTTTTAAATGTTAAAGGGCGGAGCTCTGAACAACTCAATGTCTGTGTCTTGACTTACTTTACTTGCAGCATGTTTGACATCACATACAGGAACAGGATAAGTGACATCAAACACCCCTCTTCTTTGCCCTATTGTTCTCTTTTCTACTGCTCTCTTCAAAATTACGGACACTTCAAAGCCACAGTCATACGCACAACGATGAACCAAGCGCTGATAAAAGCTTTCCTTCTCTGCAGCCTCAGTAAGTGTTTCATCATTTGTGACTTCATTGATATGTTTAATATTGTTTGATTCATCTGCATTAAATGCATCTTATCCACTTATCTCATATTTGTTAACTCATGTGAAGAGAAGTGTTTTACCTTCAGGTTCTGACTCTTAATATCTCGGTCACTCATCTGTTTGTTCCAGGTTGGATCTCTGTCTCAGGTTCTGAGTCTCAGACTGTGGAGGTCCAGTCTGGTGAAGATGTCACACTGATGTGCTCCGGCATGGACGACCATGTTTCAGTCAGATATTGGCTTAAACTAGTCAAAGGAACCAACATCCAATGTGTCTCTACTATGACCAGTTATAACAGTGAAGTGACATATCATGATGGATTCAGTAATCATAAGTTCATTATGTCGTCCAACACCTCTACTATCTTTCTCAAAGTCCGTTCAGTGGAATTAAACGACTCTGGAATTTATTACTGTGGATTTAACAAAGATGGACGTCCATTTCTTACTACGATACATCTAAAGATCAAAGGTAAGATTATTTTAAAGTGTTTTCCTTCTCTCTGTTCCCATTATCACATTGTTATCTTTGTCCGCTTATGTTAAAAAAAGAAAAGAAAAGAATCTTAAAACATCTTCTATCACCAAATTGTCTTTTATATTTTGATGTAAATCAGTTAAGATGAAATCCTTCTCTAATAGGCAGCAATGGCGCTCATAACAGCATGAACAACAACTCTACAAGTAATATTCTTCAAAAGTTTTCTTTATTCAACAGACTTCTGACATTTTAAATCCTTCATGTTAAAAAGCTAGCTGAATTTGGAGTCTCCAAAAGGAAAACAGAGTCTGAAGCAATGATCTGTCTGTGTAGAAGAGTCTAATGGAACAGCAACTAAAGACCTAAGCTTCTTTAAATATGTTTAATAGGAAGCAACAAGGCAGATGAAGACGTGGACAGAACGGACTGTAACCTTCGAAGTACAATTTTTATTATTATTTCTATGATGCACAGACTTCTTATATCTTCAAATAACTTAAATAATTTAGTTTGATCCTGTCAGGTTTTAAAGTCTTCAAAAGGAAAATGTATTCTGACACAATGATCTTTCTTGTTGAAGAGTGTGGTGGAGCAGCGACTCTGGTGAGCATGATCCTGGGTGCTTTGACTCTTTTGCTTGTCATGGTGGTCATCGGTCTGGGTGCTAAAATTAGGAAACTTCAGACAGGTATGTTATAATGTACCTATTATTGCAATAATGGTCTTTAAGTTTAACAAACACAACGTTCAATGAACCCTAACCTCTAACCAAGATGTTTTATTTTGTCACTCAGCTGCTGAAGAAAGACAGAATCCAGGACACACTGAGGTAAATACAACTCAATTTACTTTAACACAGTTTGTGATTGAAGAATAATGACATGATATTCATTGGTGTTAATTTAATGTGTTCCTGAAATATTTGTGTATTTATAGACTTACATACTTCTTGTCCATATGCATTAGAGGAACAGTATGTAAATTCTGCCACCAGGGGGCTCTCATGTAAAAACAATAATAAAAGATGATGTTGAGGCTGGCGGGGAATCATGGGAGTGATTCTCTCTGTTACTTGCCCCGAAGACTCAGAGTTGACCATACTAAAGACAAGCGGACGAAACCAGCCTGAGAAAGAGAATATGTTTATCGATGAGTTAATGTATCCAAGTATAATATAAATTACGTTTTTATCACAGCAGCACATACAGAAACAATACAACAACTTTTAGTAGCAGCTCCTGCTTCCTTTTGCAGCAGTCTTTGACATAACATCCGGTGTTTCCAAGGCAACAATAAACTTGTGTCCCAACAAAACACGACCTGTTACAACTATTAAACTAAGTATTTCTCTGGCTTTGATAACTGTTGGAAGTATTTTAAGAGAGTTGAACTATTTTTAAATCAAAGGTCTTATAAATTACCAACAACCATCTGCCAGAATATGTTGGTCTCTTCTGGGAATAAAAGTCATTTCAAGTGAACACATTATGACTGTAAATATTCTCTTTACAGAATGTGACCTCTGATGAACTGAACTACGCAGCAGTGACATTTCGATCTAAAGCCAAAAGAAGAGAGCTGGAGCCAAATGTCTTGTATGCTGCTACCAGATAGAGTGAGGAGGCGGCTGGACATGATCTTGTGTCATACAGTATTACAATGCTTTGAGCTTTTGCATGGCTTGTCTGGCTCAAAGTCTTCTTAGCCAAAAAAAAAGATGTTTAGGATTCATGCTGTAGGGGCCTTTAAAGATGTATTTGACAGTCAGTTTCTCTTATAACCTTATATAGAGTTTGATACCTGTGTGTTGCAGTTAATGTGTGAGGGATGCACACTTCACTTGTTTGACAGGAAATAACAGTAGAGTTTGGTGTCAGCCAAACTATGAATCAAACCACAGGCTTTTAAAAATAAATCTGAATGAAGGTATTACAGCTTCCCAAGAAAGAATTCTGAGCCTCTCTAGATTCATACAATGTGGAAAACATACAGTATATCAATGTCTAAACAGAATCTTTAACTGTGATAGTATATTAACATGTGAAATGAAATGCTGTGTGTATGAGGCAATAGGAGATAGGACCCAAAAGCAGACTCCAAGGTAGGACAGGTCAAACAAAGAGGACTAGTCTTAATCAATGTAAATCAACTAACAGCCCACAGTCAGGAATTACATTAGAAGTCAGACCAACCAAGGAAATAAAGAGAGGCAAGATCCTCAAAGAAAGGCAAGTTCAAAATATAGACTGTATATAACGTAGATGTGGTCTCAGTGACATCACCCATTGGTTTCTGAAGAGGTGTTTGAAGCCCAAAGATGGTGGCCACCATATTGGAAAAGCTGTCTCAACCATACTCTCGATCAATCTTTAAAACAAGCAAAAAGCTGGAGTTGAGTCGAGCATTTAGCTTCCTGACAAAAAGATAAAACGCATCCTCCTGTCAATCAACTAAGCGCCATTAATTGTGTGAATGTATGAATAACTCTCAGCCTTAGTTTAATCAAAACAGTTGATGAGTTGTAAAAAATGTCGCCCCTGTACAGCGTGGGCCAAGAAACAAGTGTGCTATCAATATTACTTCTTTTTTTTACCAGGCTGTAAAATGTGATATTCTGCTGTTTTCATGCTATTTTTAAATATGCAGCATTAGTGTTCAGAAAAGGGAACATTGTCTTCAGCACTTCTGGCTGCAGAAGTGCATTAGTGAGAAACACGTGTTTGACAGGAAGAGAGCACAGTGTCGTCTGGGGTGGCAAAAGCCTTGAGGCCTGTAAACCCCAATTACTGTGAAAATAAAGTGTGAAGTGAAGCAGCATGTACTGTATTTCACTGTCTTTTGTTTAGGGGGGTGCAATCAGCTTTTCTACACTCAGCAAAGCCATCAAAACACATAATGTATAAAAAAAAAAGTATATGGACTACATATCTTAATTGTTGTCACAGTTTATGTTGAGGATTATTAAAGTAAATCAGCAGAGAATGTAATACTTTTAGTTCAGGATTTGAAATCTATCTGCTTTTTTCTGTCCAGAGTGGGAGTGACAGCCAACCTTTCTTGACTTGGGAACTTGGGAAGCATGAATGGAATTGGAGTTGAAAGGTGACATTTAGAGTTCATATAGCTGCATTTGCATGAAGTATTCGTATTGTAGGGATTAATAAAAGCAATGAAGTTCCAAAGGGATCTATGATTGAAGTCTGTCTCCTTTGCTCTCCACGCACATGGTTCTCCTGTATACAGACAAAGCCTCCTGATTCTGAAAAAGTTGACAATGCTACCAGGCCTGCCAACGTAAACATAGTGATTCTGGGCATTAGTCACAAAAGGATTGTGCAGCTTAACCCTGTGCAAATGACACAAAGGGACATGGTATGATTTAGAAAATAGACAAAGGGTTAAATGTTCTACAAACTGCATCTTTGAGCTCCAGTGCTGTTTTCATGTATTTTAATGAGCCATTATTCATTGGTGACCATTTCTCCACAAAATGAATCTAATTCCAAAAAAGCATCAGATTCACAAACATTAACAGCCAAGTCAATCAATCAATTCTGTCATCTCGAGACACAGGTAAAAGACCTTAGTCTTTGTTATTAAATATTACAAAAGAGCAGGTAAAAAGACCATCCTCATCATGTTACAAAAGGCAGGTAAAAGACCTTACTTGTGGCGCAGTGGTAGGGCGCTATCTTGAGCAAATCCAGGCTCATGACAAAACAGCCATCTACCGAAACTGCTCCGGGCTTGAAAATGGGATAGGGGGGAGATGGGATAAGATGCAGGAAGAGGGATAGGGAACAAGGAGGGGGGTTGGTTGTTCAGGCAGGCTATCTACCAACAATCCAGAGGAACCTAAGAGATGTCAGGAGCTCCCCAGTGCAGTTAGAGATAAATATTACTGTCATCTGAGAGGTGTGGCAGTAACCGCACCGTAGTATTTAAAAAGGCTCTCAACTTTGATGGTGATCATGAAAACAATTCCACCTCTGAATGAGGTTTTAAAAATTAAACGTCAGTAATTGTATAATACTTTGACGCAACATAATAACACGTAAAAAGCCTCATGTTCCCCAAAGAAAACAAAGAGTTAATGAATTGAAAAGATCTTTTTAAACTGGGTTAGAAGACATGAGAGGGATGAGAATCTAATCACACCTTACCCCCAACACTTGCACAGACTCAAATCACTTCTCTCTTGCCTGTTGCAAGGTGACGCATGCACGGCCTCATATCAAAGCAGTCACTCTGCTGAAGGCTGAATGTTCAGAAGAGGTGACAGACAGCAGCAAAACCACAGCAGGTGAAGTTCACATTCATTTGAGATGAGATGAGATTCAACTTTATTGTCATTACACATATACAAGTATAGAGTAACGAAATGAGGTTTGGCATCTCACCAGAAGTGCAAATAAGCAGAAAGTGCAAGAGTCTGTGCTATGTACAGTAATTGAGTGCAAGAGTCTGTGCTATGTACAGTAATTCTGTGCTATGTACAGTAATTGCAAAATTTACAAATGTAGACAAGAAAGTGAATTATTAGGTAAATCTGGATGGCTGGATTAATGGGATGCAATAAATATAAATAAATGCTATAAATAAGTAATGCTACAAAATAAGTGTGTTCTTAGGATTATAATATACAGATTAAGATGCAGTGAGCATGCTATACTAATAATATACAGATTAAGGTGCAGTGAGCATGCTATACTAATAATATACAGATTAAGATGCAGTGAGCATGCTATACTAATAATATACAGATTAAGATGCAGTGAGCATGCTATACCAATAATATACAGATTAAGATGCAGTGAGCATGTTATACTAGTTTACAGATAATATAAGAATATGGACATAATATGAACATACTATAATACAATAATACAGATGGATAATATGAGCATACTATAATAAAATAATACAGATGGATGAGAGATGTGTGTGTGTGACCAGGAGGAGTGGTGGGGGGATGATGGGTGTGAGGTGATATGCAGGGGAAAGGGGGGGGGGTCAGCAGGGTGCGGAGAGAGAGAGGGAGAGAGAGAGAGAGACAGAGTTCAGAGTTCGGGGGGTAGAGTTCAGTAGAGAAACAGCTCTGGGGAAAAAGCTGTTCCTCAGTCTGCTGGTTCTGGTCCGGAGGCTTCTGAAGCGCCTGCCGGAGGGCAGGAGGGTAAACAGTCTGTGGGCAGGGTGGGAGGAGTCTTTAAGGATGCCATGAGCTCGCCGCAGACAGCGTTTTCTTTGGACATCCTCAATGGCAGGAAGTGGACACCTTGTGATGCGCTGGGCGGTTTTTACCACCCGCTGTAGCGCCTTACGGTCTGCGACAGAGCAGTTTCCGTACCAGACTGAGACACTGCTGGTCAGGATGCTCTCGATCACACAGCGGTAGAAGTTCATCAGTACAGCTGAAGACAGGTGGTGTCTCTTCAGTGTCCTCAGGAAAAAGAGGCGTTGATGAGCCTTCTTAACCAGACTGGAGGTGTTAGTGGAACATTTCCACTGTCATGTAAAACTCAATGTACTAAGCATTGCACACATAAATCTGGCAGGTGCAATTTCAACTGCTATGATTTATACATCACTGTACAGCTATTTGGATTTTTTATTCTGATTGGTCAATTAAAGCCCTCCACTCTGAGATTTATAGAAGACTGCTGCATACTGATCTGATGCTACAGACACAGTTTTGGTTGCAGATTACTTCTGTAACGTAGATGAAGACAAAGCAAAACAGTCGTCAGGCGTTATTCAGAAGATTCCAGGATTGTATTTCAGTTCAGTATGTTCTGCCTCTGTAAGTCCTGCAAAAAAAACAAAAAAAACAGCATTTTTGTAGATACTGGGGGTTAGTAAGCTTGAGGTAGTTGGATCATCTTGTGTTCCTTTCTGTCTCTTACTGTCTGTGTGGAGAGCGGTGAAGCTGGGGAGATTAACTGGAGGACTGACACATGAAGCAAAAAATAAATTTAAAAAACTGAATGAAATATGTGATCTATCTTTGTCAAAGTTAGTCTGAGAAACTGGATTGACAAAAGGACGCTCCGCCTCTTCACACTGAGCCCACCTTCACTGGGGCACCGTTGAGTAACAAACATTTCAGTCGTGCATTCATACTGTACGTACAATGATGAGCCTTACCTTGATTGCAGCTTTACTCTTCAGTAAGTACTGAGTAGTAGTCTGTTTGTTCTTTTTGTTTCTTTTTTTAGTACAAACATTTTAAGCTTCCTTACAGTTAACTACAAATCGTTTTTCATGTTGTCCTCCTTCAGGTCTGCTGTCTGTCTCAGTGTCTGAGTTTCACACCATGGATGCTCAACCTGGTGAAGAAGTCACACTGCTGTGCTCCAATTTCACCCTTTTCCCCTTGCACATAACCTGGTTCAGACTGAACAGCACATCCAACACCAGCAGAATCTCCACTCTGTCCAGCACCGATAAGAAAGCTTCTTTCTATGGTGAATTTCAAAACAGCAGCTTTGACGTGACATCCAACAGCACTCATCTGTTTCTCAAGATGAAACAGGTGGATTTTAGTCACTCTGGACTTTATTTCTGTGGATTTACCTCAGAAGGAAATTCAGTTATTGTAAGTGCAACGTACTTCAAAGTTCAAGGTAAGATGGTATTTCTTTGTTGCCTTTTTTTAATCGATGGAAACAGATTTTTATACAAAATAATGACATGTCTTATAATTTCTCTCGCAGAAGCATTCATTGGTAGAGACAGCTATCTGAATATGATCCTGGGTGCTCTGGTTGTTTTCCTCTCTGCTGTCATCTTTACTCTGGTTGTACTCATCAGAAAACCTCAAACAGGTTGTGTTATCATTTGGACTGCAAATGCAAAACTTTCTGTGTGCCACAAAGTGTTAACAGTAATATGAAGCAGCAGTTTATTGACAGGATGTTCTGCTTCTGTCATTTAGCGCGTAAAGAGGACCAGGATCCACAGCAAAGTGAGGTATTACATTTTTTGGCTTAGATTAAAGGTGCACTATTTAGATTTTGTAGTGAAATTTGAACGTTTGAAAAGTTAAACAATTTTTATATTTTCTGAACTAAAGACACAAACTTTATACCCAGGAAAAAATTGGTCCATGGAACACTGTTTGGAGCTAAAAAGCTACCAGGATAGTTATGTTTTCAATGTTGCGGGCCCACCACCATAACTTCCCGCTTAGCATTTTATCTTCAAACAGTGTTACAGGGACCAAATGTTCCTCTGATGAGTTTGTGTAAAGAGTTATGAACATATACCACCTGTACACTTCTCCAACTTTCACATTTCTCTACCAAAACTCCACAGTGCGCCTGTAAGTTTGACTGAAGTCTATTTCTTTACGTTTTCTGCTTCATTTATCTTTTCATGTCGTGTTTGATTTACAGAATGTGGCTTCTGAGGACGTCAATTACGCAGCGCTGAGTTTTCATCCACAAGCAAAAAGCAGAAGAAGGCCTGCAGCTGAAAACGAGCTGGAGACACATGTTCTTTATTCAACAACCAGATAGACTTTCCAAATCTGTTTGGTTTCAAACTGTAAGGATAGAGTTTCTCTCCATATACCATTGTCGACTCTCTCTTTTCTTTTGAAGTTTGAATCTTTGGTCAAAGATTACAACAGCCAGTAAAGACATGTATGTCCTTTGTACTATTTTTTTTTCTTGCATAACAGCACTGTGCTTTAGATTTGCTGAAAATGAAACTTGATTAAAAGACAGCAGGAATTTGCATGGGGGACACACAGGCAGGGAAGAGTTGGTGTTCTATCTGCATACAAGACCCTATCCTCTGCATCTGGTATGCTAACCTTTTATGTGTGAAGTGGATGGACCCCAGAGAAGTGTCCATGTGCACCATTGTAAAGTTGGGAGGCATGGAGTACAAAGACCAAAAAGTGGGGAAAGGGGAGCTAAAACATTTACCAATAGCACATTGTATGACATTATTAGAGTAACAAAAAAATGTTTTTTTAAAAATCCAGGCAGCCTGTACGAGATTTAGTTGTTATAGTTAAGAAGGGGGGGGGCTTTTCAAATAAAGTATGTAAATTGTTGAAGTTTGAATCATGTTAAAACATACAAATACAACTGGTATGTGGTTGTTGTGTTTTAAAGAAAACATCTTTGGCTTTTTTGTGTCTGTCAGAGGTCTCAACCACCGAAAGACTGGCCTGCAGTTGCATGCTTATGCGCCAGTGTCTGACTTGCAAGCAACAGCAATTAAAATAGGAAATGAATTTCATCTTATCAAACCATCCAAACCACCAAGCTCTGAGCTGTACATGTTCACCACATAAAGACCACTGCAAAAGTCAGTTCCCATGCATCTACAGTACCACTATGACATGCACCCAGTTTCTCAGTACAGCTGTGAGTGTACTAATAAAAAGCTTCACACCACAACAACCAGCTTTTGAAAGCACCCTTAGGCTTATTTTAAAACTGAACCTTTTTTTTACTTTTGTTAAAGACTTACTGATGTCTGATCCAAAAGTTGAAAGTCTCTTTAAGCTAGGTCTGATCCTAGCTACTGATATTCCTGATCATTTATTATTGCAAATTTAAGTCAACCAGTCTTGAAAATCTGTCAAAATCAAGCACTTTATATGTATCATGGCTAAACACGGTTTGAATGTGTCTGCACATAAAAGATGTCAAAGTGTTGTGCTGGGTGTTGCTGATGTTAGCAGTGCCAGCACCTCCAGCCTTCAGTCCTAACTGTGCTGGTTATCTGCCATTTTAACTTATATAACAATTACTGACTTAATCTTAATCTGTGAATAGAAATATCCCATTTGGGACAATAAACTATCTATCTACATAAAACTTTATCTCCATTTACGTTAACAAACCCCTGCGGATACGCTCCATAACATGAGATGCTGTCCGGCCACTGTGCTTGTTTACATCCAGTTAGTAGAGCTTTGGCAGTAGCCATTAACCAGAGCTGAATTTTATGTTGACTGAGATGCTGTTATGTACGATACATTTAACAACCTCAAATCACATAGTTAGAAGGCCATTGACAATTTGGCATTTATGGTTTGGTCATTTTTATAACCTCAACAAAACGTGTGTATGATCACACAACCTGATTTCTGCTTCATTTGAAGATCCTTGCAGTATATATCGTCTTTTTGCATCTTATTTAAAACATATGAAGGACCTAAGCTAGTGAAGAAACTTTAAATGGTGTAACGTAAAGTTTAAGAATAAGACTCATTGGATTTAAAATAGCCCCAGCATGTTATTTCCTGAAAACAACTTCAGTAAATAAGCTGCAGTATATTCTAAACGTAAAAGAATAGGAATTACACTTTATTTTTTTGGATATTATGTGGGCAGAGATCCAGTGATTGTTGATACAACATTTCTAGAGGTTCAAGGTAAGTTCCCTTCAAAGTTTGGTCCGTCTTTTTATTGATGATGGAATCAACTGAACCTGATAAAAGGTAAAGTACAGAGTCTAATTAAATGATCTTTTTTTGTAGAAGTGTATTATGAAATGACGAAGCTGGTGATCGTGGTCCTGGTTGGTCTGATTGTTTTCATGGTGATGATCGTCATTTGTCTGCCTGTTAAAATCAAACGGCTTCAGAAAGGTAATCGTATTTAGTGTTGTTGTATATTTCCAAATGTACCCTATAACAGACAAAACCATAGAGTCCTATTCTCAAAACTGCATCAAAAACAGTGTTGTGCTATGTTGTACATCAAAGTTGACCAAAAACTTAAGTTGTTTAAATATTAAGTCTTATATATGTGAGAAGAGTGACTGAAAAAAAATCTATTCACAGAATCTTGGCGCAGACGGCCTAATCTATTCGGCTGTGACTATTCGTCCAAAAACCGAGCGAAACCTCAGGCCTGACCCCAACAGAGAAGACGACAAGAGTTGTATTTATTATTATTATTATTTACCGGGTATTACTCTTCTGATCAGAAAGGCCAGTGTAAACCGTATATTAACTTGAATTTGGCCATTGGTTTGTTTCTGTGAATGATGGGAATTACTCCAGAGTTGTGGCGCGGAATTCGGACTGTGATCCGGCCTCTTCAGGCACGCATTTCTCTCCTCCTCTACTCTCCTCTTTTCTCCCCTTTTACTAACACACACACATACACATTCCCGTGTAGACGCACATCTGGAGACTAACTCTACCACCACGCCATTACACACATAGGCTACACACACACAAACACACACACACACACACACACACACACATAGAGATCTGTACACTCGCGGCCATTCAAACGCCTCAGAGACACAGATCGTGTAGGGCCGAACTCGGCCTCTTTTAGACAATAAGACCACGCTAGGTCTTTGTTAGGTGTGCACCATCAGAAGGGCGACCACGTGGGACGAAGCAATCTCCCCCTTTTCCCCCTCCTCTCTCTCTTTCATTCACACACACACACACACACACACAACTACACTTTTACACCTCATCCACAAGCCTTGCTTGATAATGTTTGTTTGCTTAGATTAGTTTACAACAGTTATTGGTTTGATTAAGTTCATTGATTTTGGATTGATGTTGCTTTGTTGAAATACATTTTAAGAGAGCAGTTGTTTGTGATTACTGGTGTATTTGCATTGTGATATAAGCTGGCTTTGTGTACGGATTTCATGCCTTCAATGTATTAAATATAGTTATTAATTATTAATAATATTATTAATTAAGTAACTAATTTGAGACTGATTTGAGTGATATTTTGGTTATATTTCCCTGATTACAGGGTGGTGCCCCAAGAGAGATTAAACATAGTTTAATGATATTTTTTATTTAGATTATTAATAATTATATATAATATAATTATTAAAGAATATAACCAAAGTTGACTTGATACAACCCTAACATAGGCCTACATCACCACAGCAAAGTCAGTTTCCATCTGTTAGTATGAAATTTCATGAATTCATTCCTCTTGATAATTTTGTGGATATATCATTTAATTCTGTCTTCCATCCAAGGGTAATTCTTCTTTTAGGTCTGTGTAGATGTAATGTGTTAGAAACCTCATAGCAGCTGAGCTATACTTGGATTGGAGCCAATTGTATGTTGTGAGCTTAAAAGGAAATTTGATTCTCTGAGGAAGGAATTTGTAGGCTCTTCCTTCCAACAATATAAGCAACACTGTTAACATGAAAACTCTGTCATCAGTTTGTGTTCTGTTGTGTTGTCAGGCCACGGCCGAATAAATGGACGAAAGATAATCTACAGTCTGTTTCACGATTTTCTCATTGAACATTTACAGAACAGAAACACCCCCACCTAACACCATCCATCTACACTAGAACTATCACATGCACTCAGTTTCTCAGTACAGCTGTGAGTTTTGCTAGAATGTACTAGCTTCAAACCACAACAATCAGCTTTATAAAGCTACTCATCATAAAAGCAGAGGAAGGCGTGCAGCTGAAAACGAGCTGGAGACACATGTTCTTTATTCTTATTGTAAAAACTGAACCTGTTTTAACCACAGTTAACTTTTGACCCTAAGACCCTGGAAATTGTGTCAAACTAATGTCTGATCCAAAAGTTGAAAGTCTCTTTAAGCTAGGGCTGATCCTAGTTACTGATACTCCTGTTCATTAAATGGAAATTTAAATTTGGACAAGTCAACCAGTCTTAAAAAAAACTGTCAAAATCAAGCACAATACAAACAAACATGGCTAAACACTGTGTGATTGTGTCTGCACATAAAATATGTGAAAGTGTTGTGCTGGGTGTTAGCAGTGCTAGCACCTCCAGCCTTCAGTCCTTCCTGTACTGGTTACACCTTGCCTTCACAGACTGGTTATCTGCCATTTTAACTTGACACAATATATGCTTCCTTGCAGGAGGTATGTTGTATAAAGAGAGACCTCAGTCACACACTAACTAGAGCACAATGAGGAACAGTATCTTGATAACAGCTTCACTTCTCTGCAGCCTCGGTAAGTGGTTAACTCCTCACCTGTGACAGAAGTCATTACTTTTAAAACAATAAATAAAACAAAAAGTTTGAAATCCTACTATCTTGTCAGCTTAAGGATTAACACTTCTGTTTGTTTCAATTTGGATCTCCGTCTCAGGTTTGAAGTCTCAGACTGTGGGGGTCCAGTCTGGTGATGAAGTCACACTGCAGTGCTCCAACTTTTCCAGTACTTACACACAGATCATTTGGTTCAGACTGAACAGAAGTGAGCCTCGCTGCATCTCCCATATGTTTAGGTCTTTTGAACCTGCTACATTCTGCAGTGGATTCAAAGATGGAAAATTCAACATGACATCAAACATTTCCACTGTCTTCCTCAACATCAAACAAGTGGATTTGTCCGACTCTGGACTTTATTTTTGTGGATATTATGTGAGCAGATATCCACTGATTGTTGATGCAACATTTTTAGAGGTTCAAGGTAAGTTCCCTTCAAAGTTTGGTCTGTCTTTTTATTGATGCAGTCCCTGAAAAAAAAGGATTTTGATGGCATCAGCTTAACTTTAGATACAATTTTAAGAACTTAAAGATATGGGCCTTAAAACACTTGTGATATACTTTAAATTTTGTGTTCTTCCTGCCTTCCTGTCATGTTGTTTGGTCCATTTAAATATAAATCAGATCTCAAGCAACTCAAGGTCAAATGTACAGTGTCTAATTATTTTTTTTTTGTAGAAGTGAATTATGAAATGACAAAGCTGGTGATCGTGGTCCTGGTCGGTTTGGTGGTTGTCATGGGGATGATCATCATTTGTCTGTCTGTTAAAATCAAATGGCTTCACAAAGGTAATCGTATTTAGTTGATTTAACCTATATGACAGACAAAACCATATAATCCTATTCTACAAACAGCATCAAAAACAGTGCTGTGCCATGTTGTACATTGAAGTTGACCACACATTGTTTCCCTCATGTAGCTCATATTGAAGAACAGGACCCGCAACAGGAAGAGGTAATGTTTAATGTGTCACTAGCTTTACCGAAACTTGTGCTTCATTTACCTAAAGTTGTTTGAAAGTTAACAATTTAGTATTCTTATGTGAGAAGAGTGACTGAAAAAAACTTCTATTCACAGAATCTCGGGGCAGACAGCCTGATCTATTCCGCTGTGACTTTCCGTCCAAAAACCGAGCGAAACCTCAGGCCTGACCCCAACAGAGAAGACAACAAGAGTTGTATTTATTCAGGCACCAGATAGACTCAGGAAGCACCTGCAACCGCAGCTAAAATAGAACAAATAGGAACTGATGCTTTATAATTAATGTGATGGTGTGTTTCAAAGTGGTTGCTAGAAGTACAAAACAAATTCAAATAATGTCGAGAGCGAGCCTGAGCAAACCACTAGGCCAAACACGTTGTTCATTCCTCATAATTATCAAATAGAAAGCTCTTTGTGATGATGAATGATCCTACATCCTCCCCACAGCACAAACAAACTGTTGGGGATCAATTTTTGGTCTGACTTTCCTTTCTTTGTCAATGCCAAGGTCATCATTTTGATTGTTATGCTGATGATACATAGGTTTATCTGTCCAATGAACTATATCTTGCTTTAGTTTAGTTCATAATATTTATTTGTTTCATTGAGTTTCATAGATTTTGAATGATGTGGCTTTGATTAAATATATTCTGTTACAATTTAAGAAAGCAGTTGTTTGTGATTGTAATACCGCTGATTGGGAGAGCTTGTGTACGAGCCTAAGCCTTCTGTTTATTTAAATACAGGACTTATTAAATATGAATAATTTTACTATTTAATTGATTTGAGACTGATTTTGGTGATATTTGGTTATTGTTCTCTGATATCAGAGTGGTGCCCCGTTTTATTAACTCAGTTTAATAATGTTGTTAATTTATATTCATAATTAATTAAGGATAATTATTAATATAAATTTATATAACCAAAGTCGACTAGAAAAGAACTGACATAATTGTTGCCTGCGTATTAGCTCTGCAAAACCCCAACAGTGGCGATTCTAAAATATGGTGGGGCCCTAGGCAAAAATCAATTGGGGGGCTCTCCAACCATTTTGTCTGCCAGTGTCCCGACGCTTACGTCTTTTTTCCCGTTTATTTTTTCTCTCCTACAGACGGATCATTCCTCTTCAAATTTCTGTGTTTACTTTCATTGACAAACTTTGGTTTTCACTGTCAATAATGAAAATTTTGAGCCACTGCTTGGGTTTAAGTTTGTGAGCCACTCCGGGGGCACCTACTGGTCTGGGGCCCCCAGATTTTTGTGAATATTATAGGGGCAGAGATCCAGTGAATGTTGATGCAACATTTTTAGAGGTTCAAGGTAAGTTCCCTTCAAAGTTTGGTCCGTCTTTTTATTGATGATGGAATCAACTGAACCTGATAAAAGGTAAAGAACTTTGAGATATAGGCTTAAAATGTACAGAGTCTAATTAAATGATCTTTTTTTGTAGAAGTGAATTATGAAATGACAAAGCTGGTGAACGTGGTCCTGGTTGGTCTGGTGAAACTTCAGACATGATGTAGGCTGTATATTGTTTTAAATTTATTTTCACAATACTACTTTGACCTGTTTTGACTGATCTTTACAGCCACAGTTCATAATTCGTTAGTCACAATAGATGAACATGATTTTTATTCCCCTGTATGATGGTTGACTTTTTAGTTGGATAAAAAATGCATTTCATCAATAAGGTTCTAAGAAAACATCTAATTGTAACTCAAGGCTTTTATCACCAGAGGGCGCTGTTTCCCAGCTTCTAAGGTGTAAAACTGTTAGCGAGGAGGACTTTCTCAGTTTGAGGAGAAAATGAAGAAATGTTCTTCAAACAAATATATTATTTAAATTAAATGATCAATCCACGCACACTTTTAATGTAAATACTGAACACTCTACCTCATGTAAATTAACCCATCTGTCACATTTTATTATCATGTTACTTCAGCATCTTTTGCACTACTCACCACTGCACTGTTTCTTATTTAGTTTTGTACATATTAGTGCTTATTCGTGTTTATTGTTGTACATAAGAGAGCACAGTTCACCGAAGTTAAATTCCTTGTGTGTGTGTGAGTGTGTTCAATGTGTTTATGTTTTTAGTTTGGAAATAATATTACGAGGAAAGAGCCTTACTAATGTGCTATAATGGCCAGATAACACTTCAGTGTCGCCAGCAGGAGGCAGTGTTGTGCTGGGCTTCTCCCATGTATGGACTCTCTTTGTTCCTGGACTCTCGTTGTTCTGCTTCCTCAATGTAGGGAGGAAGCTGAACTGAAAAGATGCACAGTTGTCTGTATCGTACTTTTCTTCTGTTTATACAGGTTTGTATGATTCAAACACATGTATAAATGTATATAAATAATGGTTAACACAAAGGAAACACGCTACATTGGTAAATGTAGTTGAACTTAATGTGTTTGTGAACAAGTAGAGACAGTAGCGGAGCGAGTGTGGGGGCAGTGATGGGGGCCCACTGTTGTCTCAAGGGGCCCACTTTGAGCCAAATTTAACATGCATTTTGTTATTTAGTTTAATTTTTGAATAAAGTTAGTTTGACTAGGTCTGAGTCTCTCTTTTCTTTTGCCGCAATCAAGACACACAATGTATTTTGTAGAGCAGAGAGTGGCCCCCCTCCACTGCCAAGGGGGTTCTCAACTTCGGCAGCAAACAGCACCAGCAGGGTGCTGTGGCCTGTTTGTAATGTCATTGATTCCACCTCTTAGCACCCCCTTTGCTGGGCCCCTGCTGCTGTCTGGAGTTTTAAAAACCTAGTTGTCTGTCTGCTTTATTTCTGTTTACCTCGCAGTTTTTCTAAACTAAATAAAAAATGTTTTCTCATTGACAACTCAACAACTCAACCTGGCAAGTCTCCTCCCGTTGCTAGCTCCACTAACGTATACGAAACTAGCCAAGCAAATAAACATGTTAGCGAGGAGCACCCAGCTAGCTCCGTGCAGGAAAGCAACAGTGTTGATGAAAACTTAATTGGTAAATTGTTTCATCATGATTTGAGATTACGCTTAGATGCTGGTCTTTTGTTTGTGGGTGCATGTGTTGTAGACCGCCATGTCTGCTTGGTTATCGTACTGTATGAACGGCAGGCCATTGCTGTCACACTGTTTACAAAGTTTGTTGTAGTGCGTGGGTTGATAATGTGTGGTTTTATTGTATTGTCTGTTTGGCTGTGTGGCTGGATGAGCATCCAACTTCACTGAATGTCAAACTGTAGTTGCCTTCTATCTTTGGTTTCTCGTCCGGCTAATTAAGACTGCTTTACTTGTTTAATCGGTGGAATATGCGCACAGACATATCAGCACTTGTTCTGCTTAAATATCAGCAGGTCACTCACTGATAAGTCCCTGTCACTGTAATAGCACCCTTTGTAATCTGCAGTGGCATTTCTCTTCGTCCCGCCCCGTCTTGTATCTCCATACAGCCGATACTATACCGTAAATGCTATACTATATTACTATATAGGCTACAGCATATGCTATATAGCCTATAGAAAGTTTAAGGGCCCACTATTGGTCCCCGCCCCCTCTGCAATGACCCATAGGCTCCGCGCCTGAGTAGAGATGATGCTAACGTTACCGTGTGCGGTCCAAGATGGCGCCGGCGATCATCACGTCTTTTTTGTTGATTTAAATTAGCTCCTGCACATCTCATTTCGAAACAGATATTATATTAAGAATGTGAAGAAGTGTTCTGAAGGTTATGGATGGTGTTGTTATTGTCATATGTGTATGTTTTCAATGTTATAAGGAGTTGCAGTTGTCAGTCTTCAGTACTAGGAGCAATGTGCTAGTCTCTCTTTATTTACACCTGTGAGTAATGTTACATTAAGGGAACTTTTAATAGCCCGGGAAATTATCCAGGTGAGGTCAACATTCTCCTTTGTTGGTCGACAGTTTGTATTGTGTTTATTTGTGATGTTGTGAATTCTGTATTAATGATGCAATATTAGAATACAAAGCACAAAGTGTCAGAAAATGAAGCATTTATTTTGAATCCTGATGAATAAAACTCTACGGAGAGAAGCTGAACTGAAAAGAAGCACAGTGGCCTGTCTCATTCTTTTCTTCTGTTTATACAGCAATCTTATCTGCATATGGGATCTCAGTTTAAGACCTGTAACATAAGCATACCTGGCCAATAAAGCTAATTCTGATTCTGAAAACTGCTTTGCATTGCTAAGTGTTGGTCTTAACCTAATCTCAGGTTGTCAGCCACAAATAGATGTGTTTTGATTAACGTTGATACTAATGACAATGATGATGACTTTTTAATCTGACTGAGTTACAGCATTTTATCCTAAATTAAGAAATGTGTCTTAAACTTTAGGGGCCTATTTTTTTGTAAATTCAGTCAGCTCCGCCAAAACAAACAAAATGACCCCTCACTCAATCACTTCCGGGTCACTTTCTGCATTTGGTACGTTCCCTTTAGGTCAAGAATCTGTACTTTGCAAAAGTGTTCTGCCACTTGTAAATTTGTAAAAGTGTTTTGGTTTTGTAATTTTGTTTTATAAAATGTAAAAAACGTTTTTCAAAATGTAAATTTCTCTCAGATTTTGTAAAAGTGTTTCTCACTTTGTAATTTTGCTTTGCACTTACCAGCCACCATATTAATAATAATATAATGCAGCCTCGTATTTCAGCAAAAATACTGTGGTAACCTTTACTCCTAAGAAGGACCAGTCGACAACTTTATGTCTAGATATTCACTCTTTATATTGAATGGAAAGAGTTTGTTACAGAATATGAACGAGACGGCAACGTGCTGCAATCAAGGGTAAAAACGAGTGACATTCAAGTACACACCAGAAAATAGGAAAACCCATACTCAAACAAAAACTAATAACCGAGTTATTTATCATTCTCACGTTACAACAAATACCATAATAATAACGGCTATCAAAAAAACAAAAATGATGTAAAGACAAGAAACTTTCACTGGATTCTAGCTCCTCATGTCCCTGGCTGTGGTCCTGAGAATCTTCAGCAGAGTTTACTGTATAGTTTTTGAGATAATCAAAGTTAATTTCTGTTCAAATTGCATTGAGTGGCTTTAAATGTGTAGTAATGATTATTTTATTTTGAATAATCTGTAACAGTGACAAGAAACTTTCATTGGATTCTTGTTCCTCGTGTCCCTGGCTGTGGTCCTGAGAATAATAATTAAACGTAAGTTCTGCTCAAACTGCATTAGGACGCTTTGATATTTTAGTCATATTTGATCTTTTATTTAGAAAAATCTGTGACAGGTGACAAGAAACTTTCAATGGATTATTTTTCAGCAGATTTTACTGTATACTTTTTGTGATAATTCAAGGTAAGTTCTGCTCAAATTGCATTGAGACGCTTTGATATTTTAGTCATATTTGGTCTTTTATTTTGAAATATCTGTGACAGGTGACAAGAAACTTTCTAGCTCCTCATGTCCTTGGCTGTGGTCCTGAGAATCTTCAGCAGAGTTTACTGTATAGTTTGTCAGATAATTCTAGGTAAAGTCTGTTCAAATTGTATTGAGTGGCTTTAAATGTGTAGTAATGATTATTTGGTCACACTTTATATTAAGGTGCTTGTAATAAGCTGTAACTAATAGGTAATAAGTCACTTATAAGACGTTATAAGATTCTTATTAACACAAATAAGACTATATAAGTGTTAATAAAGGCATAATTAAAACCTTTATTATGTCTTTTAAGACACTTATAGGCTCTTATTAGAAACGTATTAACAGTTTATATACCACCATAAACATTAATAAGATGTTTATTAACATTTATAAGACTTTATAAGGAAATATAAATCCTTATACAGATTAATAAATACTTTATTATGCACTTATTAAGAGCTAATAAAGCTCCTCTGCAGGTACTGGATCTAAAGTGGGAACACTACTTATAAAATTAATAAATAATTTATTATGCACTTAATAAGAGTTAATAAAGCTCCTCTGCAGGTACTGGATCTAAAGTGGGAACACTACTTATGAAGGTTAATAAATACTTTATGATGCATTTATTTACAGCTCAGTGGGAACAGGGTCCAACTTTCAAGT